CTGAGAAAATGGGCGAGATGCGGGTACGTGTTACTCACAGTGAAAATATCTAAAAATATATGTCTCAAAAGCCTAACACAAACTTTCTGGTCCTGAGACGAGGTGCGAGCGAGCGTGAGGCGTGGGGTGAAACAATGACGGGCGTGAAACGGTTAAGGGCGTTACCGCGAGAGCTGTAACACTCATGGTAATCACAGGTTTTCTAATGTACGCTCATACATTCATACATAACATAAGTACATGCGTACATCTATACATGCATTACATACATAAATGTATTAGCTTACATACGCACACATACATCCACACATATAGACTAACATGCACACGAGCCGAAAACAGATACACGCGGGAACTCTTCACACAAAAGGTTACACTTCAGAGCCCATTTAGCCGAGACAAGAGCGCCAAGCGAAACATCTGAACACGAATGGAACACAAAGAGCACGCTTAAAAGAAAGAGAGAAGAGAGAAAAGAAAACGGCAATGCTTAATAAAGAAGGAGATGAGAGATAAAGACGCGAGCGACGTTCAAAGTATAACACCGGGAGAACCTACGTAACACGCAGGGCCACAAAGGTGTAACACCAGGCGACGTACAGGGGCTAACAGGTCCGCCAAATATCAAGGGAATAATGCTCAGCCCCCACAAACTGGCTGGCTGATAACCCAGACGCATTTCGCCATAAGGTAAAGTTTAATGCCTAACAGCCCCGGATTAGCATACAAACTGCCATGCATAAATACATTAGCCAGAGCTGCACGCAAGCAATACTCGCATATATACAGCCATCCCACAGCAACACGGGGAAAAGGGGCGTGTCTGCCACACCAGGACATGTGTGGTGGGCGTCCAACCACACCAAGTTATGTGTGGTGGGCGTCCTACCACACCAAATTATGTGTGGTGGGAGTCCTACCACAACAGGGTATGTGTGGCTGGCGTCCTACCACAACAGGACATGTGTGGCAGGCGTCCTACCACACAAGAACATGTGTGGTGGGCGTCTTACCACACCAGGATATGTGGGGTGTCTCCGCCTGTATCAAGACCTGTCTTTGGCGTCATACCACACTGCTACTGCACCAAAGAGGCGTCTGCTGTCTACCGCATAAAGACTCCCAACATCTTCCCCCTTTACGGCTTCTGTATTGCGCACAACACGGACCAACATAATATAATGCATATTATTATTTACAAACACAAAAAAGACGCTGAAATTCTGTTCCCGTGTACTCGTCTCCGAACCACTGAACAAATATGCCGCGTGTATTTGTGTGTGATGTTCATAAAGGCACAATGCAAATTTATATACATACTTGTACAAGTACACACATGCTCTGCATATCTGTGTTAGTCCATTCAATAATGTTCTGAGAAGATCGATAACGCATGCATAGTATGTTAACACGAAGATATGTACATGGGAGAATTCAGAATGAGCAAAATGATTTCCTGCATCATAGTAACACATTGACGAAAGGAGCATCATATTCAAAACAGCTGACTCACTCATGCTCAGCCTTTCTTTCTTCCCTTTTCTCTCTCTCTCTCTCTCTCTCTCTCTCTCTCTCTCTCTCTCTCTCTCTCTCTCTCTCTCTCTCTCTCTCTCCCCAAAACCTGTCAGAAAATCCTCAACCTTCTATCAGCTAGCCTTTCATCTCCATCGCATCATCTCAACGCATTCTGTAAGACTCATGCCCCGTCCCTACCTCCCCCCCCCAACATGAAGCTTTTATAAACCGATTCTTTATCGCGTTAATCTGATGAATTGATGGACCGCCTTCGCACAATCGATACATCCTTCACCGCAATTAACTCTCCCCGCGACCTTAGCAACACCCCACTCTGCCCAGTACCCTCTCCACCACCCCTGCCACCGCCCCCTCGCCCCTACGACTCCTACCATCACCCCCTTTGCTCCTGCCACTACACCCACCACTACCGATAACGTCTACACGTTCACGCTGACAAAATACCTTCTGTTAACTACCTGACCCGAAGGCAAATTAGCTGAAATACGTACTTTCAATTTGACTGTATATCCAGCGTGATTTTTTTTTTTTTTATCACGTGTATTAGGTGTCTCCTGCTGATTATATTGCAATAAATCACATCATGCAAAACAGGAGGGGAATAGCTTTGTTACCCAGCCTCTCCAAGAGCTTCCAAATGGCGCGGTATCTTCCCATGCAAGGCTTTCCTAGTATGGGAACCCTAGTATAGCATGGTATGGCTCCCTTCTAAGAAGCCCCACTGAGGCATCTCCATTGGCAGTCATTTAGTCGCTAAGAGTACCATGACACCGTCATAAACCGTTTTTACCAGCCTCCCTACCGCCACCAACAGCAAGGGTACACAACCTGGCAAGTATTCCCCTCGAGTGACCCTAATAACCGGTGTTATCATGGCTTTCGAACGATTATCCGGCAGCAATCGGGAGAGGAGGGGAGGGGTGTGTGGATTACACCTCGCCAGATCGAAATCCATATAAATGCATTTGGGAGCAAGAGGTTTACGAGTTTACGAAAAGGGTGGGGGGGCGGGGAGAAAAAGTGGGAGAAGGAGCTTGAAAAAAGGTCAAATCTTGATAGGCATCAATCACGTGAAGGGGTAGCGGTCAGTGTAGATGGGGGAAAATGTCAGATAAAAGAAAAAAGAGATCAGATAACAGACGTAGAGGACCAGAGGTCATATAAATCAGCTTTATCTCCACATTTTGTTCTCTATTGCAAAATTACATCTAAATAACATTTCAAGTAAATATCATACAAGCCTAAACTTTTAAAAACCCATCTTCATCATTCCCCCCATCAAAAAAAAAAAAAGTATATATAACAAAAATAAATAAATTGACAAATACACCTGAAAAATAACTCTGCACAAAATAAAATAACACCAAAACGAGCCCCGCAGACTACGCATCCCAACAACAAAGGCACAGCCCCGGAGCTGCCAAGCAAGCAATGTATGCAATCTGCAGCCACATCAGCGCCGCGCAACCGCCGCATCAGCACAGGAGCCGGCGGCGGCGCTGACCATAGAGCCAGGCGGCGGCTCGCGAGCGGTCGGCGCACACGGCCGCGTGATGGACAGGGCGACGGCGGAGAGACCTCGGCCCACCCTTAAGAAGCAAGACTCATTTAAGAGCCGCTGCTCCCTAAGGTTTAAACTAAATTATGCCAGTTTAATCAGTCTGTCAGTCTGTCCGTCTGTCCCACTCACTCTCATACCCACACCTGCCTGCCAGACCTTCTATCTTTCAAATATACACATACGAAATATTCGCCTTCCCACACACACATGCATATGTATTTATAAGCCTATGTATGTATATGACCTTGTATGAGTATACAGAAATACCCATGGATAATCATATATACATATGCACACACACAAACACAGGTATGTGTGTATACATATACACATTCAAAATGACATATATCAATATGCACACATACATATATACATATATATACATATATATTACAAATGTATATGCATACACATATATATCATATACACATACATATACAAATATATACATACATACGCACACACACACACACACACACACACACACACACACACACACACACACACACACACACACATATATAGACATATATATATATATATATATATATATATATATATATATATATATATATATATATATATATATATAGTATGTGTGTATGCATATGAATATATAAGTATATATACATATATACATGTATGTTTATATATATACATATGTAGATATATGTATATACACAAATACATATACAAACACACATACATACATATATACATAAATAAATAAATATATATATACATATATATAACGCAAGCACGCACATATATACACAAGCATGCATATATGCAAATATATAAATATATTCTGGCATATATTCTCTCTCTCTCTCTCTCTCTCTCTCTCTCTCTCTCTCTCTCTCTCTCTCTCTCTCTCTCTCTCTCTCTCTCTCTCTCTCTCACTCACACACTCACTCGCGCACACAACACACACACACACACACACACACACACACACACACACACACACACACACACACACACATATGCACACAAGCACGCACACACACACACGAATGCACCACCCTCCTTCCCTCCCTCCGTCAATACGAAAATTCAAAACTATCGCAAAAACGTCAGGTCGAGACGAGGTGAACGACCCACGCAACACGCAACTACACCAAAACCACCCCATACAGCCATGGTCCCTCCCCCCCCTAATACTTTTTTTTCTTTTCTTTTTTTTTCTCTCTTTCTTTCTCTGGTTGCCTTTTCCACACTTCCATCCTAAAACTACCCTTTTTGTGTAACCCTTTGATTCTCCTTTTATATATAATATTTTTTTTGTGTGTGTGTGTGCTGCCTTTTCTTTTTCTTTTTCCGTTTATCTTTTTATTTATTTATTTTTTTTTTCTCCTTCGTGCAAATTTTCTCTTTCGTTTAGTTTTTTTTCATGTCATCTCAAGCACAATACAAGTTCTAGCAATAACCATTATTATTATTATTATCATTATTATTATTATTATTATTATCATCATTATTATAATGATCACTAAAATAAAGGTGTTCACAGCTATTATGACTAATACTATGAATAATACTGCTATAATTAAAATCATCATCACCACTTTACTTTACTTTCATATTACTACCGCCATTCTACTGCCTGTATTGCCATTTTTTAAAAATACGGTACTATGAAATACGAATGATAAAACATATAATTAAGAATCTGATGTTAATTAAGTGAAAAGATACATATTGTATATATATATATATACAAGCATACATGCATACATACATACATACATATACATACACACACACATATATATATATATATACAGACATGCATATATATATATATATATATATATATATATATATATATATATATATATATATATATGCATGTGTGTGCGTGTGAATGTGTGTATACATAGACATACATATACATATATAT